TTGATATGATTTCATTAGATGTAATTGGACTTAAAACATGAAAAGGTATGGAACACTTTGTACAAGTAGTATTTAATTATTAATCTTATTTTATGGTTATAAATGTAACTAGGAGAACATCGAATGCTTCGGATACAATTGATATTATAAAGGAAACATGAATATAAATATTTTGATGCCTGTTTTATTAATTATTTATTCAATGAATTTGCTAATATTGAACAAAAAAATGAATAAAGAAAATATGAATGAACTTTTCTTAATTTAATTTGAATTTTATTAAGATTTTTAATTTAAAATCTTTATTTTTATTAACTGTTTTAATAATTCTCTATTCAATAACTTTGCTAGAGTATTGAACAAATGGATTAATAAAAAGCATGTAAAGTTGTCCCTACTAATTTAGTGAATTTTGGTTTAATTTTAAATTCTATAAAACAAGTAAACTGTATTTATTCAATCTATTTTGTTAAAAATTCTTTATTTTGAAGAAGTATTTATTAACTTTAATAAAAATTCCTGTTTTTATTAAAAATTTTAAATCCTTATTGAATGCTGATTTTTTTTTTTTTAATAAAATATATCTTATAATATTATGAATAATGTTTAGCAACTTAAGTTCCCTGATTTCATGTTAACAAAAATATGTAATTAATGAAATACAATTTAAATTATATAATCAATACAAACATGAAAATTTTATTATAAAGTAAATAAAATACTCTCTTAAAAAAAAAAAAAATTAAAATGCAAAATAAAAATCCACTGCTAGAAACTGTATCGTCAATAAAATACTTCTCAATCTTTTCAAGCATTATTTTTTCTACCATTAAATGTTTTTCCAAAAAAAAATAAATATATTTTTTTACGTATTTAATTTATAAAAAGATAACAAAAAAAATATAAAACTAATTTTTTTTTTTTTTTTAATCTAACATTTGCATGGTTGTGTATTTTCCATGTATATATTTATTTTTATTCTCAGAAAGGTTAATAACCTCTTCTACTAACCAATATGATTAAAAAATTCAAAAATGGAATTATAATATCAACATATATATATATATATATATATATATATATATATATATATATATTATTGTGATAAAGAAATACAAATTCTATTAACGAAAATCAAACTGTTAAGTAATAATACTAAGGAGATATATGAAAGAAAATTGGAAAATTTAATATAAATTACCAATAAGAATAAGAGAAAACTAAATTCTCTGCGTGTATTAATGGTTTATGAACTTCTTGTTTAATGACTTTTGTAGCATTGTAAAAACAAATTAATAAAGAATGTATAAAGAAAACTCTGCTTAATTTAATTCTTATTTGATTAAATTCTTAAGTTTTTAAAACTTTTATCTTAAAATAAAATATATTTTCTATTATAATTTACACATATATTATATTTCCCCCCAAAAAAAAAGATACGTGATATATCTTTTTTTTTTTTAAATTGTAGATACACAAATAGGAAAAAAAATAAAAATTATGATGTATTAAGATTTTTTTTTTTTTAGTGTATTTACTTTCAGTACAAGTGTGTATATATATTTTAGTGTATATATTTTTGTGTATCAATTTTGGATTACGAGTTAATGGTTGTACATATCCCCGTGATTTAGTATGTAAAAAGTAAAGTGTTTTTAACCTATTTATTCATCTAAATATTATAAAAAAGAAGTCTATAATATATATTATAGACCAATTATAATATACATATTATTTTGATATTTATGGAAGAAATAGTATAACATCTTATAAAATTAGTAATGTTGAGAAAGAAAAATTGACGAAGAGGTACAAAAATAACGTTAATAAAACAATCTAAAAATAGTAAACTTTAAATAATAACTATTATTTTTCCGTGGATCGCAGAGTATGGTTAATAAAATATATCACTAACCTTTTTAATAATAAAAATTAATAGCTGTATGGAAAATAAATAGCCATGCACGCTCTAGATATAAAAAAAAAAATTTACTTGTTAGTTTTTTTTGTTTTCCTTTTGTAAAATAAAATACATAAAAAAAATATATTTATTTTTATTAAAAAAAAAAAAACGATTTAAAAGCGAGGAAAAATAAAAGACATAAATATTAACAAAAAAAGTTTTTAGTAATATATTTTGTTTAAACCTATGTAAATAAATTTTATATTAACGACAACATTTTCATATTTTATTTCTTTTATATATTTTATTTTGTATTTTGTATTTTATTAATTATTTATGTTTGTTAATTTAAAAGAAATAGACATGAATTTCTAAACATTACTCATAACAATATAAACAAAATACATGTAATTAAAATCGATGATCAATGAGGATTTAAAATTTTAGTAAAAATATAGGATTTTAAGTAAATAAATAACTCTGAAGAACGATAGAATGACTAATTCTTAATGATATAGACTACATATAAAGCACTTTACATGCTACTAAGAATTATAACTATACATAAATTAAGTTAGCAGAGGTATCTTTATATGTTTTCTCTTAATCTGTTTGTTCAATATTCTAGGAAAGTGATTAATTAGTGATTTATTAACTGGGTGTTCAGTGACTTTGCTAGAGAACTAAAAAAACAAATTAATAAAGAGCATGTAGAGTTTCCTCTACTACTTGAAGTATTTATATATATTTTTAAATGCTTTGAACGAGTGATCCTTAATTATGTAATCTACTTCATTCAGTATTCTTTAATTTCATTAGGCATTTATTTACTTTAATAAAAATCCCTATTTTTTTTAAAAATTTAAATCCTTATTGAATATTGACTATTAATCAAATGTAAATTAATTATTTCTTTGTTATGAGTTATGTTCAGCAATTTAAACATATTGCTGTTGAATTAACAAACATAAACAATTAGTAAACATGCAAATAAATTATATGAATATTAATTACGTGAAAATTTTATTGTCATATGTATAAAATTTTCATTTACAAAATTAATAATACTATCTAAAAAAAAAAAATCTTTTTTTTTTTTTATTTTTTTTTTTTTTTTTATCTCATTCTTATTGGTAGCAAATCTTTTTCCAATTGAATTTTTTAACCAATTTTTTTTCTTACGTTTTTTTTTTCTTAAAAAAAAATAAATATATTTTTTATTTATATCTTTAATTTTATCAAAAGAAAAAAAAAAATTGATTATATTTTTTTTTTTTTTTTTTTTTGCATATGCATGACCAACTACGTGTCCTTCATATAGCTAGTTCTTTTTATTTCCAATAAGGTTAAAAAAGTTTTTTATTAACCATATATTAAACAAAAGGATTATCAACGAGCATATAGATTTTCCTCTACGAATTAAATGAATTTATATTTGTTTTCAACACTATAAAACATTGAAATGTATATGGTCTCCTTCATTGATCATTTATTAATTTGTTTGATAGATACTAGAAATAACATTAAATAGTTAATTGATATATTACTCACATGAAAAAGAAATTAAAAAAAAAACTGTAATCTTAAGGATAATAATTTATTTTTTTCGTTGATGATGTGAAGTATAATTTTTTATTTGTAAGGATTAAAAATATAATGTTAATATTATATTTTATAGAGTGTTGCGTAAATTAACTTAATAACTATTATGATTCATATTTGATGTTAACTAGAAAAAATAAAAAAAAATAAAAATTTGTGTAATCATTCATTTTATCATAAATAAAACAATTAAAGTTTTCTTTACATGTTTTTCATTAATTCGTTTATTCAGTGCTAGTAATATGATTAATAAAATACATCATTTACCTTTTTAATAATTTACAGAATGATAAAAGCTCATTTTAGTTCAATGAAGTTACATGCAGGATAATTAAAAAGTATATAAAGTGATATATGTATGGGAATACTCATAATAACTTTTGCATGTATTGAAATAAAATACAAGATAATTTGTGGTTAAAAGAATATTTTCTTAAATTTAGCAGAACTATGTATAAAATAAATGATATTGTTAGCATATTCATAAAAAAACATTATTTATGCGTTTTTATTTTTAAAAAAAAAAAATATTTTTTTTTTTTCTTTTTTTTGGGAGATATATAAATATAATAATTTTTTTTTTGGTTCTATATGAAAAATTACAAAAAAGTCTTAAAAAGCGTAAATTTTATAACAAATATGTTATGTTTATTATTAATTGATACTGTTATAATAAGTATATAAATATCTATATAAGCTAATTTTATAATAAAAAGAATAAGTAAAAATTATTATGCATACTCTCTATTGACTATTTAAAGCACTATGAAAGTATATAAATAGAATATTAATATATAATAATAAAATTTAACATAAAATTAAAAAACAAACAAATAAAAAAAAAAAAAAATAATAAATATATTTCATTTATTTATTTTCTTTTGTGTGTATTTAAAATTATAAAGAAAAAAATTTTATTTTTTTTTGGATTTTACTACACATAACCTAGGAAATATTAATAAAAAATAAATGGTAATAATTTAATTTTTTTTTTTTTTTTTTTTTTTTGGTGATGTAATGGGTATTATTCTTTTTTGCACGAAAGATTATATAACATAACGTTAGCTATTACATTTATATTGTATAAATTAGCTTAAACAATAAATAATAAAGTTAAAATTTGATATTAGTTAATAAAATATAATTGATTTATGTAATGATTTAATTTTTTTCTAAATAAAATAATTATAGTTATCTCTAAACTCTATTTATTTAATTTATTTGTACCACATTAGCAAATTTATTATACAAGAAATAAATAAATCAATATTCTAATAAAATTATTGAATAAGTAAATTAATGAATCAAATAACTAAACATATAATAATGTTTAAGTTTATTCCTTAACAACAATTCAAAATGTTCAATAATTCTATTTATCCCTTGTAAATTTTTTTCTAATGTTTTACGTATTTTTCCAGTTTCTTCACAATTATTATTCTCACTTATATTCTCAATAAATTTTGCTTATTCATTTATTATCTTCATCCTTTTATTAATAAATTGATGTTGTAAAACACTCTTTATTATTTTTTTCTATCCATTTATTATGAATATCTTCCCAGTGTTTTTTCCATATAATTTTTTGCCTTTCTAACATGGGATTTCTAATTCTATCCTCATTCTTTTTTGCTATCATATCTTCATATACGTCTTTTATGTATTTTTTTTCCTTGTTATTCATTTCCAACATTAACTCTATGAACCATTTTTTTTTTTTCAATTCTTTTATTTCCTCTTTTTCATTATCTAATATAACATTCCTACTTCTTTTTTCTTTCATTTCCAATAAGTTAACATCCTCATCTAAATTTTCTTGCATTCTCAATTCTTCCACCATTTTTTTAAAAAAATATTCTTTTTCTTTTTGCAATTCTTCTTTCATACATTCTTCTAATAACGTCATATGTATTTCTATCAAAACTTTTTGTATCAATTTCTCCCTTTTTTTTCTATTTTTCTCTATTTCATTATCTCCTTCTTGTTTCAATTCCTCTATATTTTCATGAATTTCCTTCGCTTTTTTCGTATCTTCTTTAGTTATTCCTTTCATACATTCTTCTTCTTTTTCATATTCTTCTAATAAATCATTAAACCATTCGTCCTCGCTATGTTGTATAAACCACATTCTTTGTTTTTTTAGCCACTGTTTCCATATTCTTTTTTGTTTTTCTAGCATAGGATTTTTTCCTGCTTCTATTTCTGATATTTCTGGTTCTTTTGTTAATTCCTGATATTTTTCTTGTTCTTTTCCCCATTCTTTTTTCAAATTAATAAACCATTCTTCATTTTTCCATTTCTCTGACATTCTTTTGTTTCTTTCTACCCATTTTTTCCATAAAAGTTTTTGTTTCTCAATCATCAATGTACTAATGTCTTCTTCCCCTTCTTTCATCATTGCTAAATCATTTTCTTTTATTTTTGGATATTTTTCTTTATCTTCTTCTATAAATTCTTCTAAACAGGTTTCTAAAAATTTTCCTCTATTCAATAACCACTCCTCTTTTCTACATTCTTCCAATATTACCATATATATTCCTATTAAAGTCTCCCATTTTAATTTTTTTTTGTTTATTTTAGAATTATTCATTTCATATGATTTCTCTAAATTATTACTTTCATATTTTCTCATTTTTTGTTCCTCCATTTTATTAATCTCTATTATTGATTCATCTCTTTCTATGGTTTTTTCATTTTCTTTATCTTTTTCTATACTTTTTTTATAAGTTTTACTTTTATGTTCTTTCTCTTTATTTTCATATTCATTAACTAACTTTGTAAACCATTCTTCATTGTTTTCTTCATTTATCCACTTTTTACAAATATTTTCGCAGTGTTTTTTCCATATATTGCTTTGTCTTTCTAAGATAACATCAACTACTCTTCCTTGATTCTTTTTTGCTAAAATTTCTTCTTTCATCTCCATCATATATTTTTCTTCTTTATTTTTCCATTCTAACATTAACTCAATAAACCATTTTTCATTTTTCCATTTTTCTATTTCCTCTTTTTCTATCTCTGATATAACATTCCAACTTCTTTCTCTTTCTATTTTATTTAATATGTTTGTTTCTTCGTCCAAATTTTTATATTTTTTTATCTCTTCCATATTTGCTTTAAAAAATTCTTCTTGTCCTTTTTCCCACTCTTCTTTCATACATTCCTCTAATACCCTCATATGAATATCTAACAAAATTCTCCTTTCCAAATCTTTCTTCATTTCACTTTTATCTCTTCCATTATTTGTTTCTTTATTTATTTTTTCATCGTCTGTATTTTCATGCATTTCTTCTTTTTCATATTCTTCTAACAATTTTAAAAACCATTTCTGATTTTTGTATTCGTATGAATGCTCTATTTGCCATTCTATCCATTTCTTCCATATTTTTTTTTTTTTATCTAGCATAAAATTATTTACTCCAATTTCTCTCATTTTTTTAATTTCATGTTCTTCTAAATATTCTAAGTGTTTTTTTTGTTCTTGTTCCCATTCTTTCTTCAAATTAATAAACCACTCTTCATTTTTATATTTATCTAATATACTACTATATTTATCTATAGCATAGGTACTATTTTCTTCTTTTATTTCCATTACAAAATTATTTCTCATTTCTTTTAAATTAGAATTGTCTCCATCTTTTTCGATCTCTTCTAAACAAATATCAAAAAATTCGCTTTTATTCAATTTCCATTCCTCTTTTTTATATTCTAGTAATGCAGTCATATGTATATCTACCCATGAATTCCAATTACATACATTATTCTTAATTGTCGTTTTATTTCCTAAATTTTTCATTTCCATTTCACATGTAGGTTTTTCCTTTTGCGAAATTATTTCATTTTCTTTTTCCTCATTTAATGTGCCATTCCTAATATACCATACAATATTAACAGGATCTTTTTCTAATATATTTTTATTTAATTCATCTTCAATTTCACTACTAGGTTCATTTTCATTCAATTCCTCTTTTTTAATTTCACTTTTAGGATTATCTTTATATAATTTTTCTTCACTTATAAGTTCTTTTTCATGCTTATTTGACCCTTCTTCTGTAACATTGCAAATGCTTTTATTTCCTTTTTTATTGTATATTCCTTTACATTCTTTGGATTTTTCCTTCTCCTCATGTTTCAAATTTCCTTCACTTTCATAACTAACCTCACATGATGGTATTTGTTTTTCATGCTGTAACAAAGAGTGATTTCCACTATTCATTGGTCCATCCTCTATATTATTTGTAGATAATGGCATTGGTTTCTTTGAAATTTTTTTTATCTTTTTTCTTATTTTTTTTTTCTTTGATTTTCGATTACGAATCCAAGATCCAATAGGAGTGCACTATAATTAGAATTAAAAATAAGAAAATTATGAAAATTTTACTAATATAGTTATTAGTATTTTATATATATATGTTTTTGAGTTTTTAATTAATAATATTATATTACTCTATATATAATAATTAAAAGGAGAACAATTCCTAAAATGAATATACCTACTGAAACGCCTGTTATTAGTACATTTCCTATGGGTTTAACAGTAGGGGTAGCTTCAGTATTCTCATCTAATGGAGTTTGTGGGGTAGTACTATTTGAAACATTCATATTTTTAGGACAAATGCCCGAACAATTTGCTAATGTATCATTCTGAACTTTGATTAAAGGTAAATTACTAGGTTGAGCAATAGAAGTAAGTGTATTTTGTGAACTTTGTGTTGGGGGATAGCATTCTTCAAATAATTGTGTACAATTATTTGTTGTAGTAGATTCAGTTCTATTACTAGGAGATGCATGGTTATTTGCAGAATATGTATCATTCAATGGAGAAGCACCAACATTAGCTGTAAAATTACCAGATTCCGTGATTGGGGATGCAGAAATTCCTGAGGAAGTTGAATTGCTATCTGCAGAAAACATGGGTGTAACAGATGGTGTAGTTTCAAGAGAAGGTAAAATTGAAGGATCAGTTTTAGAATCATATCCATTCGTATTATTTGAAGTTAAAGAAATAGGTTGTGGTGGATCTTTTAGAGAAGCAGTAGCTGTAGCTTTTGCAGCTTTTTCAGCCATTGATTCTTTATCTTTATCACCCGGCGATGCTATAGCATTTATGGGTTCTTTTATAGAATCACTATAAATGCCAATATCAGCTTTTGCATCATCATCTAATGAATCTACACCAATACTAACATGTGGCGTATCTGAAGTTTCCACTGTAGGTTGTGTAACATTTTGTAGTGAATTTGTAGGATCTAAAGTTTCATCAGATTCATCATGGTCTTCTAAAGGAATCCAAGATAAACTATATGGATCAGTTGAATTTTGTCGCTCTTTAATTTGATAAATTAATGATGTCATATTACAATGATTTCCTGTATCACTTAATATACTATTTTGCAATCTAGTACTATAAGTATTCCAATTTTTAGTAGAATCATTTCTAAAAGATTCTTCGGAATAAAACTCATAGTACACCATATTTACAAATTGTTTTCCTCTTTTATGTATATACATACTCCACTTTCCACAATTAAGTTGACTTTTATTAGCTTCATATACTTTATAATAGTAATTAGATATATCACTAGTAATATTAGTAAACTTAGTAAGTCTATCATAAATAATTTTAGTTTTATTCGATTCATATTGTTCATCATTGAGTTGGCTATATGTTAATGGTATTAAATCTGGTAAATCACTATTTTTATAAGGACTAGTGCAATTATCATTTTTTTTCAAAACAGCACAATAATCAAAATTTTTCAAAGTACATGTTGAACTTGTTTTCATACGTATTTGTGTCTCGAAGGAACTTTGTTTTTTGTTCCAACAATTAACAAGATTTGAGATATTATGATCTGTTTCTTCATTTAATACTAAATTAACAAAGTCCATTCCTCTCCAATTTATATATGTGGATGACTTTTGACATTTTTCTGTAGCATTATTAATTTCTTCGTCATCAAGATAAAAATAAAGTTCATTATTAGTATCTTCCACAAATGTTTTAATTTCTGTATTGAGTTTACCTTTTTCACTAGAGGAGTTATCTTCATTTTCTATTGTTTCACCATTTTGTTCATCTAATATACAGGAAGTTTCTTCTGTTTGTGATAAATATCTTGCTTTCTTTAAGATTGATTTTTTTTTCATGATTATAATATCATCATAAAAGGCTTTCTCAAAATATTTTGCAGTAGTATTCAAAAATTGATTAATTAAAGAAAAGAAATTTTTATGTGAATTATAGATAAATGTATAAATTTCAAGAAAACCAAAAAGTAATGTATATGTATGTATCTTATACTTTAAATTTATGAAACGTTAAAAAAATATTCGTTAATCCAATTAAGGAAAAAAAATAATTTAATTTGACCAAAAAATTGAATATAGATATTTTTGTTATTTTTGAGAATCATTATACACTTGAATTACATTGGGAAATTGTTATAATTTCTACATAGAAATGAAAATACTTGTACTTATGTGATAACTATATTATAAATTTGTTTATATTTTAAATTGGCATTTTATATAGTATATGATATTACTATAGAGTACAGTGAATTTTTTCTTTGCTTTTTGTGTAGAATATTAAATTTTTAATTTCATGTATCAATAATGTTATTAGTTTTCAAATAACAAGAAAAAATATAATTAATAAAACAAAAGTTTAATATATAAAATTAAAATTTAGAAAAAAAAAAAATAAAATAATTGATATGGTAAAACATCATTTTATGTTATGAAATTATAATTAAAAAAAAAATTAGTATAAAAAAAAGAAATTATTTTAACTTTTTTTCTGTGTTTTCTTAAATTTTTTATATAATCATATGATTATGAATGTAAGTTTGAAATAATGATATGATTATTTAATTTTTGTATTTTGAATAAAGAATTTAATTATTATATAATATTTTTACAGAATTTTTTTTTTGAATAGTAAATTTATATAATTAAAGAAGTAAAATATAGTTTATATACAAATAATATAATGTACTTAATAACTTATAATTCTTATTATAAAGGATCTAAATAATATTTTTATAAAATATAAAATACGTAAAAAAAAAACCAACATATATATACATGTAGATGTAAATTCTATAAGTGGTAGTTATAATATAATATATTAATTATTCATATATATTTTATAAAAAAAATATTTTAAGTTTAATAGAAAAATGACTTACAATTATAAAAATCTATATTATTTGTTGTTAAATTATTAAACTTTAAACGAAGATTAAAGTTATTCCAATTTTTTTTTACTTTAATATTTAAATTTTTGTTACAAATTAGTGCATTATAATTTAGTTATATTTTTGAAGAAATATATATATATAAAAAAAAAAGAAAAGCTAAAATTAAAGTTAATAAGTAATGCACTTATTTTTTCATTATAACTATATTAATCTTTTTGTTTTTTTATTAAGCAATTTTTATTTGGTAATATATATATATGTACTTGACATTCTTTGAGATATTATTTTATTATTTTAGAATTTTTTACTATGAATACAAGAAAATTTAAATTCTTTTCTGATTATTTTTTTTAAAATATTTCTTATAATGTTTTCAGAAAATAAAAATAACAATAGTTTATTAACAAAAGTTTCTTAGAAATAACATATCATTACATTGAAAAAAAAATGAATGAAAAGTGTGAGATGAATTTATGAAACTTGATTTTTCTGGATAAAAAACAATAAAAAAAAAAAAAAATAAAATTATCATTTTGTTAAATTTTTTTTTTTTTTTTTATATTTATATTTTTACAAGATAAATTACAATGAATGATTTACTAAGAAATTCTGTGAGCAAAGTAAATGTGTTTTATTTTTTTTTAGCATTTTATATGATTTTTATGGGAGTTGATTATTTTTTTCGCAGGAATATTATAGGTGAAACCTATTTTTTTATGAATATTTATGATTATATTTATAGTTTTTCATTATTAAAAATTTAATAATTATTTACCATTTTTTATAATTTTTTTATTTTTATTTATTTATATTATTAAGTTGACATTATGATTAAGAATGAATAAGTATATTAAAAAAAAAAGAGAAGATAACAGATTAATTATTTGAATATTATGGCATGGTATAAATTTTATAAAAATTTTATTGTTGAATTTTAGAAAATTCATTTGGAATATGCAAGTTGTGAGGAAAAGGGTGAAGGTTATGTTTATTGAGTAAAAATTTATTAAGTTTTTAGTTATTAGAAGTTTGTTGGTTTAAATTTTTTGTAACATTATTTGTTGAGTATGGATTAATTAAATTCTTGTTATCGGTATATATTTAGTGCTTATTTTTAAGATTATTTATTTTAAGGAAAACAATTTTATTTTTATTTATTATACATTTGTGCATGTTTTATTAACTGTGTGTTCGGTGACTTTATTAGAGTACTGAACAAACGAATTAATAAAGAGCATATAGAGTTTCCTCTATGGTTTTGATGTATTTGTATATTTTTATATGCTTTGAATGAGTGATCCTTATTTACTTAATATACTTCATTCATCATTCTTTAATTTCAATAGGCATTTATTTACTTTAATAAAAATCTTTATTTTTATTAAAAATTTATATCCTTATTGAATATTGATCATTAATTAAATGTATATTCCTTGTTTCTTTTTTATGAGTTATATTCAGCAATTAATATGTATTTCTGTTGAATTAACAAACATAAACAATTAGTGACAATACAAATTAATTATATAAATATTAATTACGTGAAAATTTTATTGTTATATGTATAAAACTTTCTCTTACAAAATTCATTAAAATCATAATTCATTCCCAAAAAAAAAATCTTTTTTTTTCTTTTTTTCTTTTTTTATACTTATTTAATGGTAAAAAATATTTTTCTAATTGACTTTTTAATCAATTTTTTTTCCTGACGATATTTGTATTTTTTTTTTTTTATCAAAATTTTTACTGACAGTCTTTATACTTTTTTTTTAGAAAAATGTACAAACAAAAATAAAATCATCAATTTTTTTTTTGTGTGTGTATGTATGACGAACTTCGTATTCTTCATTTAACTAGTCTTTTTATTTTCCAAAAAGGTTAATAAAGTCTTTTATTAATCATACTACATCACCATTGGAAGGTAATTGTTATTACTTAAAGTTTGTTGTTTTTGTATTGTTTTATTACATCAATTCCTTTTTGTACTCCTTTTTCAATTTGATTGTCCTGATTATCGTTGATATCATCGTTATGATACTACTCCGTTTATGAATCTCTAGATAATCCTTAGACTTTAAATCATGCGTCAGATTTAATTTCCTTTTATTCTTATTTGTAGCTTGTATTAAATTGTGCATTTGCCTTTCATATATTTCCCTGGTTTTATTACTCAACAATTTTATTTTTGACATTGGAATTTGTACTTCTTTAGCTCTATAATATATAGGTAATACTTTCAGAATTCTGCTTTCAATTTTAGTTACTCTATGAGGAAATGAACCATATGGTTTATATTGTATATTTCTACTATAGTGTTTCATTTGATTCCTTTTGTATTCGGATAATTCGTATGAGATAATATCTCCAACCTTAATATTTTTATTCTTAATTATAGGTTTTCTTTTGATTTCATTAACATCTTCATGTATCTTTTTCAATCGATCATTTAAGTATATAATCCTCATTTAGGAAGTTGTTTCTGGTACTAATTTTGCAAACCCTGGACAGATACAATCTATTCCAAACATAGCAAAATAGGGTGTTTCTCCTATATCTCCATGAGGTATATTATTATATATTAGTGCTGCATTTTGTACTATTTCTTCAAAAGGTATATCTTTTTCTTCATATAAAGTCTTAATGATATAATCAAGCTTTTATGAGAGCTTTCATTTATACAGTTTCCTTGTGGATAATATGTGCTAATATGATACAATTTAACCTGTATTTCTTTTTTAACATAGTCATAAATTTCTTGACTAGTATAAATTGAACCGCGATCTGTTAAAATGCTTATAGAGCATCCAAATATGGATATCCATGTTTTCTTTATAATGTTAATTGCATCCATAGCATTAGGTGTTTTATTAGTTATGTTTGTTACCATAAAACGTGAATGATTATCTATTGCTACTTGTATAAAGTATTCTGTACCTTTCCATGTTTTAGGTCCTATAATATCTAATGAAACCATATCAAACACATTCGGTTTTAATAAAGCTTGATTACTATTGGGTTTAAATTTCCTATTACGCATTACTTGACAAACTAATCAATTTGTAACGTATTCTTCAATATCTTTACTAATATTGGGCCACTAAAAATATTTTTGTATTTTCTTTAGTGTTTTATTTACTCAAGAATGTCCTGCGAATTTACTACTATGAAACCATTACATTAAATGATTTCTATATTTTTCTAATATATATAATCCTCCTGTTCTATAGTGAACTGGGATATCATCCTTCCATACTACGTTTCTCGGTATGTTATCTTTATCATTTCTTGCTTCATTTGCTATTTCCTCGCAAGAAGGTATAACATATAAATCTTCATATAATTCTTGAGGTTTACTACAATATAAGGTCATGTAGTTAGGAAGATTTGTTTCATCTTCTATTTATCTAGTGATCCAGTCAGCTAAACTATTTTGAACTCCTTCAATATGTTCAAATTCTAAGTTAAATTCATATTGTCTTAACTTCTATCGATATAATTTTCCAGTATTAATTGAATCAATTCCAAATAATACATTTACAATCTGTTTTAATTAAGGTCTTAGATCCTTTAATATAATAATGGAATATTTAGCATGCTACTACTATAGCAAATAATTCTTTTTCAACCGTACTCCTTCTTTGTTGTACTTCATTTAATTTCTTCTATTTATAATGAATGAATCTACTTTGATTTATGTTCTTATCAATTTGTGTCAATATAGCTCTTATGGCATAATCTGATGCGTTAGTATAAATAGTATAGGGTTTTCCTAATTCTGGAAATGAAAGATAAATTATTTTCCTTCATTTTATTCCTGATTTGCTCCAAAGCCTTTGAATGCTCTTCTTTCCATTCAAATTTATGTTTCTTAGATAACAATGGAAGAAGTTTAGAAGTCCAGTCTGAAAAGTTCTTAATATAATTCTCGTAATAATTAGAAGCTCC